AAAAAAAAAAAAAAAAAAAAAAAAAAGTCATAATGCAGATGCAAACACTTCATAAACTCAACAGTGACATGCAAATGATAGTTATTGCTTCATTCTATTTCTCTTTTTGTTTTGCTTTTTGGGGGTTTTTACTTTTTTTTTGAGACAGGATCAGATTGAGGCCTTGCACGCACAATCCTCCTTGTACTTGGCCTTCCAAGTACTGGGTTGTAAGCATGCACCGACACACTCTATTTCTCCACTATAGCAGGAGCCAGGCCTCTGGCTCAACATTGATTTCCACATTTCCTTTCGCCTGTAATCCCCAGTCCTCTTTTTTTAATTTTGTGGGGATGAGAGAGATAGAGGTTTCACTATTGCTATCAAGTCCCCAAGCTACTGTTGTGTGCCTACAGACTAGCAGGGTTTTCTGAGACCTTTGCAGGCAAAGTCCACGTAAACCAATAAAGTGAACATTTTAGGGTGCTGTCATTGTTACAACGCCTCAGTTCCTAACAAGCACACTTTTACGTAAGAAAAACACACACAAGCTAAGTAGGCTTCCTTGGCAATGTTGAGAGAAGGTGGGTATGAAGCAATGCTGTCACATGCAACGGTACTTGTGCCACCCCTGTGACCTGAGCCCCAGTCCCTGCCTGCTGCCTCTGCTGGACTTGCCAGGCTGCCTCCTGCCTTGGGTGAGGTGTCAGTGAACTTCTGCTAAACCAGGAATCAGCCAGCAGTGGCTTGGGGTTGGTGCTTCCCGAGCCTCCTGACCACAGGGTGCTGACCACAGGGAACAGGACCCAGGTGGGGCCAGGGTGGGGCAGACCTGACTTCAGCAGTTTGGACAAGTCGCATGGATAGGAGTAGTGAATTGATTCTTTTAAGATACCCAACTTTTAGAAAGTGGCATTTCAAAGCACAAATTTTATCAGGCCCAGTGGAGTCCAAGCAACTTCTCTGGCCCCCAGAGGGCATGTCAGGATTTCAGGGAGACAGCTGGACCCACTGAACAGCCCTCTGCACCTTCCCGAAACCAGGCTGTCCAGCCAGCGGTCTCCTCCATCAGCCAAGGCGGCAGCACTGCCCTTGCCGCTAGGGGCTGTCCTGTGATTTGAGGAAATTTAATCTACGAGGGCCCCTCAGAGGCTGAAGGCCTCCCCCGGGGATGTCAGGGGACAGGTGGTGGGCTCTTCCTACCAGCAGCTGCTGCAGCTCGGCGCCAATCACGTCTTGCAGGTTTGTTTTGTCCTCTGGGAGTAGGGCTTGTTTGTACTGCCACTTCTCAGGCACGAAGGGCCACTTCATTTCCTTTGCCTCCTGGATCAGGGTCCTTAGCTCTCTGGAGAGTGAAGCTGAAAAGGTCAGAGTTCAGGTAAGGAAATCGCAGTGGAGAAAAAGGCCACCGAGACCCCCACATTATGATGAAGACCTCCGCAGCAAAAACACTTGTCCTCACCTCGGGCTGGCTGCCCTGAGCCGTTGGCTGTGACCCAGAGAATAATAGCGAGGGACTATCTGTCAGGGGGCCCCCGTATGCTGTGCCCTACAGGTAAATTGGGGTAGTCAGGCATTGAGAAAGGTTTTTAGTAGGAAGGAAGGCACTTCGGTGACTATCCCTGCATGAAGAATCTGAGACAGGAATGGAGGAAATATTATTTTCCCTGTAAAACGAGAAAGGACTGGAGAGGAAGGGCAGGCTGGGCTGGTGGCAGCTGTCTCGTGTCGAGAGTCAGTTTGCTCAGCCCAGTTCTGCTTCTCTGAGAGCCTCATCCTTTCCCTGCAGACAGAATTTGGACAGAGACAACCAGTGACAGAAACTCAAGGAGGCTGTGCAAGGCGGCGGTTAGTTGTGAAGGAGCCCTGTTGCACAATTGTGACTGTGTTAAATCGCTCGACGGCACCAAACCTGCCTAGACCAGTTCCATAGTCAAACTTCAGAAACCCCAAAGCTGTGGAAACTGAAAGTTTTTTTCTAACATTTGTCCCCCAAACCAGACTTGAATTGACAGGGAGCATGGTCATCCTGATGATGCTTCTTAGTGAGATTGTTAAAAGTTTGCAAAAGAAAGAACAAGCTAAGGTTTGCTTTAGATGCTGCCCCACCTTCTGAATGTGACACGCAGTCCATGTGGTGGGACAGCTCCCAACATGGACAAGTTTGATTGCTGGAGGACTTGGACTTCCAGCGCTCTGAACAAGGGACTGCAGACCTGGATGCAGGATCATAGCTGTGTGTTTCTGCACTTACACGTGACTGAACTCATCAGCTCTTTTCTAGACCTACTTCCCTTCTCTCTTACATATTTTGATGAATGGAAGCAAAATTCATTGCATCATCTGGATTTGAAACCCAGAGCCAGTCTACATATTCTCTCTCTCTCTCTCTTTCTCTCTCTCTCTCTGATTGTAACTGGTTATCAAATCCTGTGGTCCCTATAATTCATTTCCTCCTCTACGTTTCCAGTATTTTTTCCTGAATTACTGCTTCCAGTCTCACTCCATCGACTCTGTCTCCCACACTGCTGCTCTGTACGGAATGCTTACATTCTTTAGTGTTGCACTTCCTGCTCTGACTGGTGGTGTTGCCCTTCCCCACACCTTGGTGACCAAATTCAGATCCACCACCAGCAGCGCTGGGCCCAAAAGCCCCTTCTGTGCAGCCTGCCATGACCTCTCAGGAGCCTTTGTCCCCTCTGGTGTAACGACACGTCTGTGTCACTGGCTGGCAGTGTCCTGAAGACGGGTGCCACATCTCACATCTCCTACGACATGGGTGAGAGAGCGTTCAGTCTTAATGTCTATGTGAGAAATGCTAAACAGAGCGAAACAGAGAGAAAATGAGAGAAAAGAAGGAAGAAAAAATCTAACCCAGTCTTGGTCCTTCACGACTTTCTGTGAACTTGGCATCAGGATGAGGCGGTTTCTCCTTGGCCCTGAGGGGACATCTTATGGGTCATACCCACCAATCGCCCGCAGTGATCATGAGGGGTGATTTACAGGCAGCACACGGAGTTGGCCATCCCCACTCTGCCACTGAGGACTTCTGCAGCAGCCTCCTCGGAACCCAGGGTTAGGGACTGATGTGGTCCTATGCTGCTGGAACACTCGGCTGTCTCACTGCCACTTTCGGTGTCGCCTTTTAAGGATGTATCCGGGATTTGTGCAGACAAAATGACTTCCAGCATTTCTGAAGAGCCAGGAGCAGGATGCCTGTTTTCAGGGTGGCCCCATGTGATCCACTGCTCTTAGCCATAGTGCCCCCTTTGCCCTCCAAAGTGTCTCCCTTTGGTAAACTATTGGAACACTGTCATGCATGAATATGAGTAACCACGGACAACAGAAAAGCGATTTCTGGGTTCACAGAATTGCATCGTGCTTTGGATGGAATAGCTTAATCTTCTCAAGTTTCTTTATGATAATGGAGAAGGCTTCTTCACAACTCACTTTTGCCTCTTGCGCACCACCTACAATGTCCCACTGGACCTCAGCCAGTCCCGCAGCACACACTGAAAGGCGAGACACCTCTAATGCAGGCTGTCTGGATGGAACACTGTCTGGGTGTCACTGTCTCCAGCTCTGGATGCTGCTGGGGCCAGGTCACCCATTGTGACAAGCACAACTTTGGAGGTAGAAGGACAGGGCTGGAAGGAGGAGGAGGAGGAGGAGGAGGAGGAGGATGAAGAGGAGGAAGAGGAGGAAGAGGAGGAGGACAGGAGTAAAACAGTATTTCTTCCTGACTCTGTGGGCTCGCCCTGTGCTGAGTAACCCTGTGCCAAGGCTTTTCTCTCAGGCCAGAACCTCAGAAGCCCTCTGTGCTGGGCTGCTGGGCAGAGCAGCGCCCGCAATCCCTGCTCTGAGGAGGATTCCAACCCCTCTGCTTTACAGGATCAAGCCCTCTCCTCTTGGATCGTTTGCTTCCCCAAGCAGCTTATCTGAAGGCCTGTGTCTAATTCAGTGATATTAGAGGCCCAATCTGCCTCGTCTAGGACTCACTGATCTGTTCTCCTATTCTGTGGTACTTGGAAAGAAAAAGAAGATGCTACCTGATGGGGGTGCACAGTCTTTTCCAGCAAAACCACAAGCTTAAAGGAATTTGGGTGTGAAGTAGAGGCTGTGGTGTCACAACAGGAAACTCCAGCGGGAACGACTCGGAGGCAGCGTGGTGCCTGGGGAGAAGCAGGGCCAGCAAGAGAGCTTATGGGGCAGTGACTGTGTCCCTGTGTCCCCCACACAGGGCGGACGTGGCCGGCACCCAAGGCCTTGGGGTAACAGGCAGGCATAGCAGCTGGCCCGGCACACCCTGCCCCAGGGCTCAGGGCAGCAGAGAAAGGAGGAGGATGGCAGATGGAGGTGGCGAACTGACTGGACGTGGGTGCTTTCATTCCGAAAGGAGCAAGACTGAAAAGGCTACAAGTAATTACGCTTCCACCAGCACCTGAAAGTGTTATGAAGACGTGTGTGCCTCTGAATGGGAAGGAGGGAGGGGGCCCCTCCCAGAACCCTCCTTTGTGGTGTAAGGCACAGAAGAGAAGAGAAGGAGGCAGTTTATGGGGGATCTCATTTTTGTATACAATGACAGCACTACAAATATGAAGAGAAATATTAAAAACATGTAAGGGAGACTTTCTTAGAGAAACAGAGGGAAAACCTGTTTCAGTGATGCAGTGTTGCCTGTCCAAAACCAGTTGAAGAAGAAATAAGAATTGTTCTTAGCTTTCCAGACTTTGTGATCGAAAGGCCCCTATCCGTGCCGGGTCAACATCTACGCATGGCACACGCCATGACAGGGGCAGAGCCGGACTCCCGAACACCACGCGGTCAGGACTCCGGGGACGGGTGGACTCCTTTCAGGGACTGGCATGAGGACTCCTGGGTGCTGCAGAAGACAGCGGCTGCACCGGCGAGATGACATAGTTATGGAAAGCATAGAAGTCTATGGAAATTGATGAGGCACAAAATCCCCGCTTGAAAAAAGTATGTGCCACCATTGAGAAGTTGCTTCCATTTTTTAATAATTCAAATTTACGTGCACCAGCCAACTCCGACCCTTTGTTCCTGCTGAACTAAACTGTTTCTTGTAGCCTCATGTTTACTGAAGCCTGAAATTAGAACTGACAGCAATTCACTGCAACAGAGTGAGCTTTGCCCCCGCCCGTCTGCACGCAGCCCAGGTCCCGTTCATGCCCTAGAAACCTCCCCATCTCTCGGTGGTCGTCTGCCAAGAAAGAAAAATAGGGCAGAGAGGAGAACGTGTGGCCCAGGCAGGGGACGGGGCGCGGGCCTGTGCCTGACCCTGCTGCGCACATCCCATCCTCACCTCGGCATCGCAGGTCCTCCCTCTTGTCCTCCTCGGACACAGCTGGCGCCGCCACCGAGAGCCGGTCCAGCGCTCGCTCACACTCTTGCAGGAGCGCGGCGACAGCATTTTGATTATTCATGATGATTACCCTCCCTCGACGATGAGTCGAGGGTCCCTGGGTCTGTGGTGATCAATTACCTAGAGGAGACGTCGATCCTCAATAAAGGAGCCCCTTGAAGGCCCGGCTACCTGGTGAACAAAAGAGGGAGGAAGATGATTAACTGGAGCGCCATAAATTATCTGCAAGACTCAAGCAGGGAGGGATAATAGGGGACACAAGAAGACACATCACAGCCCGAGGACACGACCGGGAGGGTGTGGAGCCAGTCCAGGGCCTGGTTCGACAGGCAGGCCCTCGCAGTGTCGCACGCAGAAGGGACAGCCCAGCACAGGTCCGGGAGCCACACAGCACCCGATGGAGCGAGTCTGCCCGTGATTCATGCACTCTCTGCATCCTTCTCCTGGGCGCCTGCCCTCCCAGTGGCCCTGCACTTCCTGCCTTTCCAGACGCCTACAGGAAGCATCTGGCCAACAGTTCTAATGTTCACTCACAGGCGTGTGCTGATGCGAAGTGTACCAACCACTCTCACAACCGGCTGCGATCCCCCCATGTAGAATTCTTCATGGTGTTTTGCACGATATAATTTGGACCCTGAAAGGCAGTGACAGATGCCAAATTTAGCCCTGCATTGTCAGGCCCATTGCCAAGTAAAATGAGAGACAATATCGCAGAAAGCCCAAGTTCCTAGATCTGTCATACAGATAGACTGATCTGCTTATGCTATTTAACACGAAAACAATGGACAGACGTTCTTTCTTTCTTCTCTCTCTCTCTCTCTCTCTCTCTTTCCTTCCTTCCTTCCTTTTGTTTCTGGTACTGGGGATTGAACCCAGAGCCTTCTCACTGAGCTATATCTCAACTCTTTTTAAATTTTCATTTTGAGATAGGTTCTCACTAAGTTGCCAAGGCTGGGATTGAACTTGCAGTCCTTCTGCCTCTGCCTTCCAGAGGGCTGGGATTACAGGTGTACACCTGCATGCCTGGCTGAGAGACTTATGTAAATATGAATCCTGTACAAATTGGTTTGTTGGGCTAAACGTTTCCAATGTCCCTTTTTACTCAAGTGTGTATAAGAGAAAGCGTTTTGTGCTGAAAGCTGGCCACTAGCATGACTAGCTATGAAAAGAACTAAACAGTAAGGGCTAGTCAGAATTTCAAGTTCATATTGCTGTGGCAAAGACTATAGGGGAACATGCCCATCCCTCTCTGAACATGCTGTGAGCAAAGAAGAGAGCTAAGCAGTGTGTCAGGATGGGCCAGAGGCCAGGGAACAAGGGTATGCCACTCTCACCGTTCCTTGAGAGAGGGAGAGATTGTCTAAAGCAGGAGGTTAATACAGAGGTCAAGAGATGCATCTGGTGGTTGAGAAGGAAAAATCAGCTTTGTTTGATGTGAGCGAGTGGCAAGTTGGGCACTCATTTTTCTTCAAGTCTTAAAGCAAGAAGAGAACTCTTTCCTGAGAGCCTTTTCAAATACAGAAAGAGGAGTATAACACGGAAATAATGAAGAGTGAGCTCACACGAGAAGAGACAAAACTGCATTATAATTTCACTTTGATAGCACATCATCCCTTTGCCTAAAGGCTTACAGTGATTTGCTGGGCTACCTTAAGGTAGAAAGTAGCCTTTTGTTGAGTTTATAGACGCAAAGAGCACAAGACCTGAGGCTGAGCGGTGGAAGGGTGAAGGACACGCTGGGCAGGGGGTGCACATTTCATTTAGATAGGACGAGTAAGTTCAAGAGATCTGTTTACAGCACAGTGATGACAGGTTATGACAACATACTGTATACTAGAAAATTGCCAAGCACGAAAATAAGTGTGCAAGGTAATACTTATGCCAACTCATTTGATTGAGCCATTCTACAACACACATCTGTGTCAAAATACCACCTTGCACACCATAAATATGTGATTGTAATTTGTTAATAAAAAATAAAATCAGACAAAAAAGTAATCTTCCTATGCTGACAGATTAAGCTTTAACTGCTCTGTATCTGTAAAGGATTTAAGAAGCAATAGTACACGGTAACAAAAAGACCTACAATCAGGAAGCTAATGCACATAATAGTGTGCAACAGAGATCTCTGGAGTAATCCGCTTCCTGTTCTTTAGTTAACTGTTTGTGAGCCCCCTGAGAGTCAGTTCTGAGACTCACTCTTCTTACCTGTGTTTCTCGGGTGGGGAGGAGTAATTGGAGCAACAGTTAAGATGCCTGTCTCTTAAATTACATACTCAGTCTCAGCCTAGATAGATCAGACTGTATTTCCTGAAGAATTTCTGATGTTTATTCAAAATCCCAGCTCTTATGAGAACTCTTAAGTATAATATCTATCTGTATATTTCTCTCTGGTTTAGAAATATTGGCTTTTGTATTTTAAGAAGTTGATTATTAAACAAAAACACTTTGCTGCTCTGTCTTCTCACATAAACCCTGACTTCTGATGCACAGATCATAAACCTCTTTCTTTTGTCCAGGTGCTGTGCAGGAGTGACACACCACATTGTCCCTGGAGGGCGAACAATTGGCTGTGCATTTTGGATAAAGCTGGAGCTTCCCTGAGGGTGTTATGCTAAGCTCTGAAAGAGGAAATGCACTTACACAGGAAATCTGGAGGGCACAGGAGAGGGCAGGCTGGCCACACTAGCAATGCAAGGAAATGGTGGACAGCAGGTGAGGCTGGAAGGTAAGCAAGGAGCCAGGCAAGGCTGAGGGTGTCAAGGAAAGAGTTTTTCTTGGTCCTCGAGTGGTAGACAACTACTGCAGCAGAAGGACCACAGCAGGTTTGCACTGGAGAGAGCAAGAGGTGACTGCAGCTAGATCATTTAGGTACTGATTGCAATCACTGAGGCAAGAGCTGGACCAGAGTGGTAGCACCAGCAATGCAGAAAACTAGATAGACTCGAGAGCTGTTTAGGAAGCAAAGGCAGTGCTGGTGTCAGGCAGATGTAAGAAGTGCTAAGAGTGAGTCCCAGCTTTCTGCCCCAGAAAGCTCAAAACTGAATGGATGGTGTTACCTACCACCAGGCTTAGAGACAATGGGCGTATGGGAGGTCTTCCAGTAAAAGACTCGAGTACATCCACGCATCTTCTATTTTGTATTTCTAGCTATAAAGATAGCAAGGAAGATAAGTCATATTATCCACAGAAAACAATCATTTAACCAAGAAAACATGTCTAAAAAGAGAAGGCGAGATTTCCAAGACAATTCGTTTAGTACTTGTGACTCCTCAAAAAAAAGGGAAGATCCTTTTGATACTGTTTGAAAGTTACAGCATTTCCCTTGTGCTGTAGAATTCAAGGGAGACAACAGGAAGAAAATACTGTAACACGAGAAACACTTCAGAATCCAACCATCTGTCCAGCTGTCCCTAGTTCATTGTTGGGTACACAGGCTGGAGCCCAGGAAACTTCCCTCCAGGCATCAGTCCCACTGGAAATCCTGATCAAATTTATTTATGAAAGAATCATTTAAAAAAATTTTTTTTGGTACCAGGGATCAAACTCAGGACCTTGTGCTTGCAAGGTAGGCGCAGGAACAACTCAGCTAAATCCCTGGCCCTGAAACAATCATTTTTAATTTCAGTGTTTTCTCCCCACAACTGGCATTCTGTGAGTAAGTCACTGTTTCTGACATTGAATGAATAAAATCAGACAAAAAGTAAACTTCCTTATGCTGACAGATTAAGCTTTAACTGCTCTGTTTCTGTAAAAGATTTAAGAAGCAATAGTACATGGTAATAAAAAGACCTAGAAACAGGAAGCTAATGCACATAATAGTGTGCAACAGAGATCTCTTGACTAATTCCGCTTCCTGTTCTTTAGTTAACTGTTTGTGAGCCCCCTGAGAGTCAGTTCTGAGACTCACTCTTCTTACCTGTGTTTCTCGGGTGGGGAGGAGTAATTGGAGCAACAGTTAAGATGCTTCTGTTTCTTTAAGTATTTTTGTAACCTATGCTTTATTCTTTTCTATTCTAACACCTCATATTGCTTTTTTAAAAGTAAAATAGAAAGGGGTTGAGGAAAGCAATGAAATGTAGACCTCGTGGTGCATGACTGTAATCCTGGCCTTTTGGAAGCCTAAGGCAAGAGGATCACAAGGTTGATTTCAACCTAGGCAACTAAGCAAGACCATGTTTCAAAATAAAATATAGAGAAAGGGCTCAGGATGTAGCTCAACAGCACCAAAAATGCAGATAATTCTAAAATGACATTAGCTACCCCAGATAAGAACCATACACTCTAAGGCACACATGGATATGCATAACAAACAGTCCTGTGTTCACATAATCTGTGTTTGATTTTGACCCAATAACTCTTCAGTTCCACTGCTGAGCTAGAATTTAGTTGAGTGGCTAAGTTATAGTTGACAAATCAACCATCATTAAGGAGAAGCAAATCAATAGATTTTTCAAACCCCCATTTCTTTGGGCATCTGTGTTTAATCTTTTTCACTGGACAATGAGTATCTCTTCTAGGTAGTGGGTTTGGGAAAGTAAAAGGACCTGAAAGGGGTCCTACTGCCTGCTAGCTCTGTAATAACCCACTAGTCACCGAGTGAAAATTCCCAAGGTAGAAGATGCTGGAAAGCATAAAGAAGTATGCAAGATATTCTGCATTGTCAGAGAGTTTATAATTTGAGAGTATGTTAGTCTGCCATCACTATAAAGAGTACACAATATAATTAACTTATAAACTTATAAAAGTTTCTTTTGGCTCACAGTTTCAGAGGCTTTAGTCCATGGCCAATTGGTTCCATAGCTTTGGGCCTTGGATAAGGCTGCATATCACGGGGGAGTGTGGCAGAGCAACACCACTTACTTTGCTGCCAGGAAACAGGAAATGGAGGAAGTATCTGGGGGTCCAACAGTCCCTTTTGAGAGCACACCCTCAGATGACCTGAAGACCCCACCAACTTTAGTCCAAACCAGGAACTAAGCCTATAACACGGGAGACTTTTGGGGACATTCAAGAACTGGGGTACAGCAGAGGGATAAAAATTTACATGTTGGATATTACAAATGATTCTCTCCCAAGCTCAATGGTCTATGTTAATTAAAAACTTGGTTAGATCCATAAGCCACACACAGAGCCTATTTCATTCATATGCACATTAATAATGATTCCAAATCTACTTTTCCATCTACATTAAAAATCCATTTTTAAATTGTTCCCATGAGAAAATGTACTCTGGTCTCCAGTGTACAACAAGGACAGAATTTCTTTAATGGGGCACCAGCAATGACAGTCTAGACTTTACTACATGTGCACTGTTTCCTGAACACCAAACATGATTGTGTGTATACACATGTGCGTGCGCACCCACACCCACACCCCCACACACACACTCGCGCGTGCACGCACTCTCACCAAGCTGCCTCTGCCATTGATTGGTGGAGAAGTAGGGATGCAAGGAGAAATCTGGTAAGGCAATTGTGGTGTTCAGATGCTTTTGAGTAGCAGTCTTTTCTTTTTTAAGCATTTAAAACGTGAATAAAAAAGCAGAACAGGAAGGTGTGTTGGCACACACCTATATCCTAGCACTCTGGAGGCTGAAATACAAGGGCAATGAGTTTGGGGCCAGTCTGAGCT